ATGTATACACACCACACACACACACCACACACACACACACACACACACACACACACACACACACACACACACACACACACACACACACACACACACACCACATATATATATATATATATATATATAATGTGTGTGCGTGTGTGTGTGTGTGTGTGTGTGTGGTGTGTGTGTGTGTGTGTGTGTGTTGTGTGTGTGTGTGTGTGTGTGTGTGTGTGTGTGTGTGTGTGTGTGTGTATATATATATAATATATATATATCATATATATATGTATGTATGTATTGTGTATATATATATATATATATATATATATATATATATATATATATATATATATATATATATATTATACAATACAAACACACACATAGTTATACGTGTGCGTGTGTCAGGGTCTTGACTTATAAGAAAAGAGAATTAGAAACACACAGTCCTATAAATAACCCAAAAAGCAATTGATAGCTTCCTATGATATTTACACAAAATTCCTATGCAGATGTACACTTTAAGAAATCATGATGTGCATGCTGAAATGTGCATGTCATACCAGCTTGTGCATGAGACAGAGAAGAACGTTGTTCAATTTTTAAAAAACTTTTATGTCTTTCACAAAGTATTATTTCATCAAATTAGTACTTGTGAGGTATATATCAGTGTTTGAATTTGGAGAGAGAATGAAAAGTATGCTTTGTTTGTGAATGGAGAGAGAGTGAGTGTGTGAGAGAGAGAGAGAGAGAGAGAGAGAGAGAGAGAGAGAGAGAGAGAGAGAGAGAGAGAGAGAGAGAGAGAGAGAGAGAGAGAGAGAGCAGAGTCAGAGAGAGACGAGAGAAATAGACAAAGAGAGACAAAGAAAGACAGGACGAGACAGAGAGAGAGATGTTGTGAGGAGGAGAAAGAGTTGAGAGAGAGAAAATGAAAAAGAGAAAGAAAACAAAAGATGAGAGAGTAGGAGAGGTAAGGAAAAGAAAAGGAGGAGAGAGACAGAGACCGACAAACAGAAAGAGAGGGAGAAGCAGAGGAAGAGAAAGGGAGGAAAGAGAGAGCGAGAGCGACAAAGAGAGGCAGAGAGAAAGAGACAGAGACAGACAGACAGAGAGAATGAGAGAGAGAGAGAGAAAGGGAAAGAAAAACAAAGATAGAGAGAAAGAGCGAGAGAGAGGATGAAGAAACAACACCCTAATGATAAAGGGAGATAGCGAGACAGACGTTAAAAAAAGGAAATAGACAGATAACCTATGGTGGACATCAGAAGAGCAGGAAATAACAGAACACGTAAAAAATAATAATAAAAAGATAAAATAAATAAATAAAAATAATAAAAAACTACACGTGAAAGGAATGTTGACTGAAAGCATAGCGGATGCACGCAGCACGCACATGCCCTATGCTACACCCTCCCCCCCCCCTACCCCCTATATCTGCCTGCCCAAATACCCCTTTCTGCCTAAAAAAAACGCTCTGCTCTGTCCGATTGCCCAATTTTTGCCCTAATGTCGTTTCTTGCCTTCAATACCCTAATTTACCCCAATGGCTTACCCTGATGATGTGCCATTTCTTGCCCCGATAGCGTGTCTTGCCTTCCCTTGCCCCAGTGGCCCGCTCTGCCCAATGCCCGCTCTGCCCCAATGGCTCCTCCTACCTTGATGGACCTTCATACGCCTTTCCCTCTCAGCCACGCCCACAAGCACGTTGCTTTTCTCTCTTTCTCTCTCCTCTCTCTCTCTCGTCTCTTCTCTCTCTCTCTCTCTCTCTCTCTCTCCTCCTCTCTCCTCCTCCTCAGCCTCCTCCTCCACCTACTCCTTTTCCTCCTCCTTACCCTGCTCCTCCTCCTCCCTCATCAACATCATCATCATCATCTTTTTCATCCTCATCCTCTTCTCATGCTCATCCTCTCCTTCTCATCCTCCTCTTCTTCATCATCATCATCCTCTTTTCCTCATCCTCATCCTCATTATCATCCTCCACTTCATCCTCATCCTCCTCATCCTCATCCTTCTCATCATCCTCTTCCTCTTTCTCTCTCATCCTCATCCTTCTCACATCCTCTCCTCATCATCATCGTCATCCTCTTTTTCTCATCATCCTCTTTTCCTCATCCTCCTCTCTCTTCTCCTCATCCTCATCCTCTTTTTCCCTCATCATCCTCTTTCCCTCCTCATCCTCCTCCTCCTTTTCCTCCTCCTACCCTCCTCTTTTTCCTCTCCTCCTCATCATCATCATTGTCATCATCCTCTTTCTTCCTCATCCTCCTCTTTCTCCTCTCATCTCATCCATCATTCTCCTCCTCCTCCTCTTTCTCCCCCTCATCATCATCATCATCATTATCCTCCTCATCCTCATCCTCTTTTTCCTCATCCTCCTCTTTCTCCTCCTCATCCTCATCTTCTCATTCTCCTCTCCTCCTCTTTCTCCCCTCATCATCATCATCGTCATTATCCTCCTCATCCTCATCCTCTTTTTCCTCATCCTCCTCTTTCTCCTCTTTTCTCTTCATCCTCCTCA